CTTTTTTAATAACTCATATTTCAAAAAAATATCATTCCACCCATTTTCATTTCTATAAAATAGGGGCCAAACGGGAGCTTAAACATGCCCCCAACACTCTCGATTAGGAAGCACTAACACGAAAGGGACACGCTAACACGTGATTCTCTTTAAAAACTAAGATATACGCTTCAATTAAAATAATGTTCAGCCGTACAGTAAATTAATATCGTATACTTGTTGTATTCAAGTAAATAAGGGTGGGCATGGGTTGAATTGGGTCGATTTTTTCCTCAACCCAACGCAACCCGATCAAGTTTGGGTTGGTTGGTTTGGGTTTCGACCCAATTAAAGTTGGATCCGATTTTTTTTTTTTTTTTTTTTGGTTAAATTAGGATAAATTTTTAGAGTTTGAAATTACTTGAAAAAACTCTATTTTTTTTTAAATACATATATAAGGAATTCTTTTTGAAAATTAATCTATGAATAAGTCTAAAATTTATGATTTTTTTTTAAACAATTTTTTGGGATTTATTTATTTCATCATGTTCTTAAGTTTTACTTTATTATCAAATAACATTTCATTTGTACATAGTGTTCATGTAAATTAATCTATGTAAAGAAAATGAACGCTTATAAAGTATAAATCCTTCTCATACCTTTACTATTGTGTTTATTTAGATTTTTTCATCTTAGATATTATTTTTCTTAATTCATCAGGTTGTTGGGTTGGGTTGGATCTTAAATCAAAACTCGAAACCCAACACAACTCAATTGAACTTGAAAAACCAACTCAAACCGATCGGGTTGGTTTGGATTGATTGTGTTGAATGGTTTGGACTGGGTTTTGTCCAATCCTAGAAGTAAATATGAAACATATAATATCAAGCTCGATATATATATTTTCTTAACAATTGTTTGGGAGAGATTCTTCTTGGGGAAAATTAATTATTTTGGAGGATGTGACTAAAAAATAGAAAAAAGTGATTAGGTCACGTGAAAAATGATTTCTTTTTGGATAATGTGAAGTTAAAAATAAGTTTAGAGATAAATGAATTGAAAAAATCTCTCGAACAAGCTATTAATAAGTTCAACAAAACTAAATTGAAAGAAATTCTACCTTTAATATTTAGTCCCTGTTTGACAATCATTATTTGAAAACTCTTTTTTTCTACATATTCATTTTAATCATATATTCACAAAATAAAATTTTTGTACGTAAACCCAAAATATTTTCCTAGTTTTTAATGATATTTTCTCCTAAAAATCACTACTTAAAACATTGTTTTGATCAAATAATGGCCATCAAACAGTGGCTTAATTACATATCCAAGATCTTCGACATTACTAAAATACTATTGCCTACATTCTTGTTTATAGAGATCAACTAACAATTTCAAGTACAACATCTTCACCTTATCACCTCAAATATCACACATTGGAGTTTCTCTGATGTAAAATAGATGGTTGAATGGATTGAAAAAGAATTGGACCGATGAGACAAGTAGAGTACACAACTCACCGTGACTATGATGTATTTTGGCCATTCGAGTTCGTTTAGGGCTCGAAAACTATTTTTAAAGTTCTACTGCTATTTTTGTCAGTTAATTCATTTCGAATTCTTTTAATTTTAATTTGTTTAAACTAGATTTTCATGTAAACTTTATAATTATAGGGTTAATTCATTTTTTTAATCATTTTTCAATTAATAAAAATCATGAGTTTATTTTTCATAATTTAGTGGATTCCAAAATTCGAGTTCTTGAAGTTTTCGTTTGAATTCCTTGTTTCGGTTGCGTCATTCTCTTTGTTGTTATTGCAGATTCTTCCTTAGCAAGAGGTGAAGATATGAATGAAGACTAAACTCTTAACAGATTTTGGAGCTACAATCCTTTTAAAAGAATGCATAGAGGAATGACTATAGAAGAGAGAATTTGCGGAATTTGAGGACTGAGGAGTGAGAAGGGTAAGATGGGGTGAAAGAGCTTGTAGAGGTGGAGGGAGATACCGGTGTCTAGGTTTATCAGCCGGAGGTAGAGGAGTATGGGAGACGGTGGCTGTGGTAGCAGTTTGGATTTCAATATTTTTGGGATAGTTTTAATATAATATATATATATATATATATATATATATATATATATATGATCTGGGTGCATGTTAGTATTTTTATAATAAATTTTGTAACTACTAAATTTTTTCTGAAAACATGTTTTAAAAGGTCTAAAAAGAAGTTATAAATTGACATGTAAAACATGCGGTTACGAACTGTTGTTTTTTAATATAAAAATTAGATAAAATAAAAGAAAGGGAACCATGAAAAATCATATAAAGAATCGTGGAAAGTAATTTTTAAGAATAAAAACTAATTTTAAAAAATTCACATTCACACAACGACCAAGGGTATAATTTTAATTTTTAAGCTATGGATATTCATTTGGGATTTTAAATACGGTTAGGTTTTAGAGTTGTTGCAATCTTTAGACAAAAAATATAGTTGTAAAAGAGTTTTAAAAGTCAAAGAGTCAAGTGTTATGTTGTGTAGATGATTTAGGAGTTGTTGGGGACGTCTATGGAACAAGGGAAAAACTTGTTGAGATTATGCTAGCTGGCCACCAAACTGTTGCTTTAGCGTCGAAAACAGTAGCATTATTGTCAGCCTGTCGCCTGCCTATCGCTAAAGCTGTGTACCTGTCGCTGGGCTCTTGCTCAAGTGAACGATGTTTCTCGAGAAATCCCAATTTGCGTTTTTCAAGAGTTTTATGTAGCCTATACAATTCAAAACCTCTATACTATATATATCTTGCCCCCACTTCAAAAATGTGTTGAGTTGAAAATTGAGTTAAACAAGAAATCATTTCATACACATCATACAAATAGCTCAAATCCTCTATTGATTTAACTATATCATTGAAAACATCAAATTCATATAAAATACCGAAACACATTCTTCCACATAATCTGTCAGAGTTCTAAAGATCAAAGAAGGTGGCCAGAGTTCTAATTGAAGGAGAACAAGGAATTCTCAATGATTCGAAGGAGATAAATGAATCTAGAAGGCGAGGAGTTCGTGCAGGAGCATGCAATCCAAGAAGGCTTTACTATTACAGTCAGGAGGTCAGAAAGTACTAGAGTTAGTCGAGTCCGATAGTTTGCAAGTTAATTTGTTTATAGTGAATTTATTTTGGCTGGGGCCCGGAGTTTTTTTTTTTTTTTTTTTTATCCCACGAGAGGTTTTCTCTGTTGTCAAATTTATATTTACTTTTTAACAATTTATTAACTGTGGTAATTCTTCATAGGATAGTCTTGCATGTAAATTTATTTGAATTAATTAATAATTGTGACTTGTTGCTTTTATTAATTGGTAAATTTAAATTCCGCAAAATACACCTATTCATCCCTCTCTAAGTCTTAGTTGGGTTGAACTTCGTTATTTCAAATGGTATTGGAGCCTCAATTCGATTCCTAGTCCTACCTTAATCTAGATGATTCAATCTCTTTCTGTGTCTCCATTTTTTTCGGAGGCAATTATGCTTATGAAAAGGCTAGAATGAGAGCCTTTCTGAAGTCACTAGATGAGCGAATTTGCGTCGGTGTGCAACATGGTTGGAACACCCCTTCTACTGTTGTTTCAAGTGTAGTTAACCCCACAGACATTTCACTTTGGACCAAGGATGAACTAGTTGAGTGCAACTGGAATAGTAATGTTAAGGGAATATAATCCCACATCGGTAAAATACCGAAATAATGACCAATATATAAAGGTTTGGGACACTCCTCTTAATAAGGTTGACCTTATTAAGATGGACCCCAAGTCTTGACATGGTATCAGAGCCCATTAAGCTCCAACAAGCGATTCGATCCGATTAAGTCTCTAAAAATGAGCACACGAATTTCAAGATTGGTCTGCTCAAAAGAGCCACCATCTTGCAGGGGCATGTTAAGGGAATATAATCCCACATCGGTAAAATACCGAAATAATGACCAATATATAAAGGATTGGGACACTCATCTTAACAAGGTTGACCTTATTAAGATGGACCCCAAATCTTGACAAGTAAAAGGGTTTCATGCCTTGTCTATATCTGTCTAGTGAAAAGTTTAGGAGAGTATCAATGTATGAAATTGCGAAAGAAATTTGGGGTAATTTAGAGACCACATACGAGGGAACCAAAACTATAAAGAACTCCAAGCTACAGAGTATATGTGACTTTCCTCAAGAAGATTTTGTGCACATCATGATCCTCGAAAATATTAATTAGGTCATAAGAAAAATTGTAATATTTCATGTATTTAATGAATTTCCAAGACATAAATCTTTAAAAATCTTTAATCAAAATCCACATAAGTCCATGGGAGATTGTTCTTAATTCTTAATAAATCTATATAAATCACTTAAAAGTCCATAAAATCTACAAGAGACTCCCGCTTAAAATGTCTATAAAAATCACAATTGAATACACCCCTTAATTTTTGTTACATGACATTTATTTTAGAATAAAGCTATTTGTACAAGAAATTTTTTAAAAAAGTTTCACAAGTGTTGCTGTGGCAAATTTTAATTGACCATTTTAATTATTATTATTACTTTATTTTATTTTATTTTTGCAGATGGGGGCTAAATTCAATATAATTCTACCACTTGACATTCTGTAAATCAGACTATCATTTTCCTTTAAACATGTAGCATCTCCCTTTGTTTTATATTGGTCCAAATGCTAGATTTAAGTTTTAAGAAGAGTTTCTCAAAAAGAACCAGATAGTCTTTCAAGCTGCAGATTGCGTCAAACCAGGTCTCTAAATCCACAAGAATAAATAAATATTGGGGTCAATGACGAGTTCGACCCGCGCACACATCACATCGAACTTGTGCGGATCAACTGAGTTTTTACAAGGCAGCCCGACTCATTTGGGAGTCTATATCAGTGTTCCTCTTGCTAGTTATGCGTAAAATTACAAGACAACAGCAGTTCTGATGCAACATAACAAACATAGCAATTATAAATACTAAACTCTAATCCAAGTTTTAGAAAACCATCAGCTCCATTAGTGATGACAGTTAAACGGGATTTACCAAATAGAGAAAAAAAAATACAATCAAAATAGATTTCCAGGCTTTCAGAATGCCACAAAACAAAAGCATCCAAGAGTCGAAAATATCATCCATCCATGAGAGGATAGACACTTTTTTAACAAGCCATTTTGCATAATTTCCTAAGCTAATATGGAAAATAAACAGTCTAAATTATGTAAAATCCCACTAGTAAAAGAAATGAAGGGGGGCTAAAGTTAAAGGATATTCCTGGGCGATGCAGCTCTGGTAAATAGCGTTCCAATATGTATAGGAACAAAGGTCCATATTGTCATTTGTCACTTCCATTGAGACTCCACGAGAACGAATAATGGCTTGCCTTTTAATCGATCACTTCCCTACAACATTTAGAGTCGAGTGACAAAATCAAGAGATGAATTATGTTAGAATTATATCATGGTAAATAAAGAACAAAACGTGAGGATATATGCCTCAACTGATGAGTGTGTAGATGCTTATTGACTATTGCCTGTTAAGTGATCAAATTAACGAAACCCAAAAAACAACTTATATTTCACATTTAGAGCTTGTTTGAGAAGGTTTGATCACCTCTGGTAGAAAACGCGTTTTAGTCACACATTTCATAAAACTCATAATTATTACCATCTTATTTTCCGTATGATCCACAACTTATAATCACTTAATTAATTTATTTTTATTTATTTATTTATTTTTTTTGGGGAAAGGTCACTTGATTTAATTTATCACCACCCAAAAATGCACATAGGCACAGTCGCATTGCTAGACAAGAAGTGGGTAGCAAGAATATGAATGAAAATCGAGAACAATCCAAGAAATCACTAACTCATAACCTCAATACCAATTAATATAACATGGGCTTTATGATTTTACATTACTTATTTTATTCAATATTAGGACAGAAATATAAATCAGAACAATCGAAGAAATCACCGAGACTTCAAATATATACTAATCTTTTGTTTCGGCTCTAAAGGATAACAGGAGGTAGTTTAAAGTCATTCACATATTATGTCAAAGACAAGATTTGACACTGTTATGTAAATAAAGGAGTCACCAATCTTTAGCACTCAGTAGTTAACAGAGAATGAAAAGTCAAAAGCGAAGCCTGGACCAAACCAATTTGTTTACTGCCCCCACCCCTCGATTGCATTTAGAAGGTCAATGTATTATAGTTGCATTAAATTCCCTGCAGTATCAGGTTACAATAACCTTCTTCAGAGAAAAATTCAGTGAGAAGTTGGCCAATACCAGCACCTTATTTGGTGAACAAATGGAATAAAAGAATGCCAATTTCAAGCCTTTTCGCAACCATGTTATTTAATCGCTGAAAAAAGATTAATGAGTTGGAAGGTCATTTTATGAGGTCATATAAAAGTACTTGTCCCCACCATATTTCATAAATAACTAAACCTACATAAATAGAAGTACTAAAAGTCGAGAGACGAACATCAACAAAATAGATGACCACATGAAAAGTAACCTTGATCAAAATCTTGTCGTGATGGTCAAACATATGGAGTAAAAAATATAAAAAACGACCAACTTAAAAAGGTCATTTTCCCAAGGGGATATGAGAAATTGGAAAAGAAATGAGAACAACAAACCTTTAGATCTGGTATTTCAATGACACAAGCACACTCTACAACTTCGGCTCCAGCACGTTCTGAGAAGCAACAATATCAAGTCAAGCCAGCAACATGTACATTATTATTCTTGCAAAGAAAAAAAGTAAGAAAAATATGCAAAATGTAACCATTATTTTATGGTTTGAAAAGATTTCCATAGTAATGAAGACATGAAGAACGTAATAATGCACAACATTATGTGAAAGAACATTTCCATAGGTGAATCAGATTCTTTATAAAACAGAACGAAAAAAGTAAATATTATGGAAAGCCTGCATAATATAAATATTAATGATGAGTACCCAATAAGTTCATGGCAGCACAGAGAGTGCCCCCAGTAGCAATCAGATCATCAACAATCAATGCACGCTCCCCAGATTCTACTGCTCCAACATGCATCTCAAGACAGTCACTTCCATATTCCAAGTCATACTCTTCCCTAAAAACTTTTCCTGCGAATAAATGAATTTGAAAGATGATAGTAACCACTCACCAGAAACGAACAAGAACCTTGCACAATTTTTTTTTCTTTAACTTTATAGCAAGACAAAATAGTTTTAACATCATTAACATGTAAAATAATAACATCAAAAAAGGAGAAAAAAGATTAATCTCAACAAAAATTGGAGCCCATGTATCAGGAAACCGTTAGCTAACAATGATGGCTTGAAAAATGGATCTAAATCAATCGAATGAAAAAGGCAGCATTTGGAATGTATTATGTATATAATGGTTAAACAATGTGGCTGACCAGAAGCTAAGCTCAAGTAAACATGCTTGTTATATATGATGGTTTAAAATACATTTGATATAAATTAACACGAGAATGGCAGGATTCCAAGCAAAGTAGATAACGAGCAAACACTATGGTCTACCTGAAGAAGATTTAATTAGGTATTAAAAAATAAGATAAAGATGATGAGATTTTTTGCCTAATTAATTGAATAACACATGGGTGTACAAGAAAATAATCGTATATTTCAGATTAAAAAAAATTCCACTAATAATTGTAAATTAGGAATACACTATTGGGAGAAAGTACCAGGAAGTTTCTTTGGCTTTCTCAAGGGAACAAACTTTGCTCCAATTGCCAATGCAATGGGAGGTCCGAATATAAAGCCCCGGGCCTCTATTCCTGAGTGATAGAATGGAAAACCATGTGAAATCCCGATATTGCATGATAATTCTTTAACTTAACAAGTAATTCTTCATATATCTCCATGATAAGTAGTTGGCCAGAAATAGAGCAATGAAAGACATTTTACTTTCTGTACTTCTTTACAAAGAAGATAGAAAAATATGCATGAAATACGCTACTCTTTTAAATGTATGAATTAGCCTTATCATACACTTGACACCCAAACAACAGTATAGTATAATTATCAGATATTTTGCATCCTTAATAAACTTAGGAAGTACATAAGAGGTGTTTAATTTGTTCTTTAACTATAAAATAGATTAGACTATGCATTTTTTTGGGTCATCTTATATTTACCATAGAAATAAAGAAAAATATTAAAACACGTTATTACCATGTCGTATGACACATACCCACACTTCACACACCTGTTTCCAATACCAAGACCACAGCTTGAGGCCTTGATATATGAAGTAAGAGTAACTAGAGGTGAGACTCCCCATGTGTATAGTATAAATTGTGTGCGACAATTACATGGAATCCTTGAGCAAGGGTGCATTGGTTATGATTATAGAACAAAAAGAAACTAAAAGAAGAATTAGATAGTAAAAACACCACCAAAATGGAGAATACAACCATGAACAACAAAATTACATTTATAACTAGGTTAGAGAATTTAACATTAACATCTTAGAATGTGAGTTTACATCCTTTCATCATGTAATTGAGAGCCCTTCTACATTCTAAGACAAAAATTAATGAGCATGATTAAGACAACAACAGTCACGAAATAAATACAAACTGCAACAATCATTTTCCTCCATAGACAAAACACTGGGAGCATATTACTATAATGGCACCAAAGTTGGCATATCTCACAAATCTAATGTTATACCGATTGAAATGCAATAGAAATCCTGAAAAAAAATGTAATGAACAACTAAACAATAACACAAAAACAAGCTAAGCCTTCTCATTTGGAACTAAAAATGGATATTGAAACGTTGCATTTTTCATGGTGCCAAGTGATGCAGCCTTTTGTTGCATTATGTGTTAAACAAGACTTAACAAGTTTATGGTCCTGCCTCATAGGATGTTGTATCAAATATTACAAGTATATAAAACTGATGCTAGGACTTTTACCCCAAGGAAACCACCACTTTTATTACATGGTTGAATGATTATTGAGTAAAAATTCAAAATCGACTGTGAAATGTTGACGAACGCTAAAAAAATGTTGAAAATACAGGAGGATAGAATAAGAAGTAGACATACAATCTTCATTAATTAATCTACAAGGAAAATGGATAAGAAGGTCCTACACCGACAAAAGAAATAAAAGAATATATACATCACACATAATGGATTTTAAAATGTCCACACAGCAAGTGAGAATGAAGCAATAATAAGCATAAAATGACCATTATTAACAGTAAGCTGAAATGCAAAGGCAGTTTTTTTTTTTTTTTTTGTGCACGCTAACTGCCAATGGAACTGAGCCAAGTGGAAGCCTGTAAAAATTCTGTGAAAAATTCCCTGTACATGTAGCATTATTCATTGGAAAATATACTGTTCACTACCACTTTTCCCAAATTCGCCATATTGAAATTTCATCAATGATCAAACTATAGCATAACATAATAAAAGAAATAGCCAGTGGGAAGAGACAAAGAAGATACAACTTATAGTGGAGTCTGGACCTCCATAAACAATCTTTCCAACAATAATTGATCATCATTGCTCAATAGAAAAACCACAATGCCACTCAGAGATAGTCATAATTCACCATCATCATACCATATAAAAAGATTTTCCTGTTCTTGCCATAAGTTGAGAGGCTCAAAATCAATACATTATACAGTGAAATTGTCCAAAGTCGGTTTATAATTTGATAAGAAAACAGGAAAAAATAAAATATAAAACCCATCATTGCGGCCCAAGGGCCCACACTCTTATTTCAACAATGCGATTGTGAGCATCCATCACCAACCACCATTACCACCACCACCATTTAACCCCATCCCCCAACTGGGTTTTCAGCAACTTGTCCCCATTCTTTACTATGAACGTTCATATTCAAATCACACACCCCAGTTGGAAAAATTACTGTAACAAATAATTGCTTACTCTAACAATAAATCCCATATAAATTCAAACCAGAAAGAGTACACTACACATCCACGCAGCCATCGTAATCCTCACCACCCGAATTAAAAATTGAAAAGAAAAACGTAATACATTAGCAATAGAGTAAATAGTGATACAATAGTAATGGAGTAAATATCTATCCAACTCCAGTGCGAAAATACTCATGAAACGGGACCACTTTCGTAGTATTATAGACAGCAAAGCAAAATGAAAGAACATTTACCGGCGACAACAGTAATGTTTTTACTTTTGTATCTCTCAACGAACAAATCAATGGTGTCCTTGAAGGCCTTTGGATCGAGTAAAAGTGTGGTAATATCTTGAAACATTATCCCTGTTAATAACCCTTAAAATAAGATGCTAAATACAGCTGAACATTTACAAGTAGCAATGAATATTAACAAGTATACAGTACGTTTTTGTGTATACCTGGTTTTGGGAAATTTGGCACCACCCGGATTCTCGATTGAATGCCGTCGATACGTGGATCATCCTCTTTGCAGGCTGACATTATGCTGTTACAAGAACACACAAATTTCTTCACCCTTGTTATTCAATCTCCCTCCAAACAAAAATGAGGGAACTGAAGGTGAGTGAAAGTGAGGAAAAATATAGGAGTATTTATAGGCAGAGTAGCAGTGAACGAGTGTATGACTGTGTGTATGTGTGTGTGAGAGAGAGAGAGTAGGGGTTGTTTGGGGCACTCTGCACAAGAAAGAGGCAAATCTACTCGATAAGCAAGAGGATCATGCTCAATATTGGCGTTTATTTGTTTCTTTCGGCATTGTCCGAAAAAGAGGAAATTTCACAAAATGTCCATTTTTATCTAGTCATTTGTAAAAATGTTCACCATTATAAAAATGTCTAATTTGAAAGAAGTTATACCAAAATACCTTTATTAACAATTTATAATTTCACACTAATACAAAAAATGGATATTTTTGCAATATTGTTATTGACCAATAAAATTTTGACACATAATCTGTCATATTTATTTCAAAAAGTATACATGTCAAATCACAATAAATGCTATGTTTTTCATTGATTCGAAAATGTCGAGAACGACATTTTAAATGTAGAGAAATGTCATATTCAAAATAAAATGTCATTCTAAACAAATGAAACGGTGTTCAAATGTCGAGAATGACATATGAAATGTCGAGAAACATTATTTTAATGTAGTTTATCATGAAAGTCACTTCTCAAAATTCGTGACAAATTGATAAAAAAATCAAACGTCGAGAATACCATTTCAAAATGTATCTTTTTATTAAGGGCATAATAGACAAGTTAGCATTAAATTCAAATAAGTGAACACTTTTCAACTCATAGCCTTAAAATTGTACATTCTTAAAAATGCCCCTCTGAAAAATTACTTTGGAACCCTAACTCTTCGAATTATTCCTTTATCTATAAACAACCAACCTTTTAGTCTTTGCAGCCATTTTATTTGATTAATGATATTTAGCACTACTGATATTAATTAAGGTGACAATACTAATAACATTAATTTACAAATTCAATTAAATATAAGGAATTATAGCACATTTAATAGGATATCTCGAAAAGTTGTTGTCAAATTAAACTCACACCGTTGCCGTAAATAGTTTTGCTTATTTATACAGACAGAAGTAATTTATCTAAAGATGTTTAAATAGAAACTTTACTTAAAACTAATTTTTAAAACTCCGCAGCATTTTGTTTGACACTTCGATGGTCAAATTGGTCTATTTCTATACATGAATCTATGTGTATTTTAGCATACTACAATTTTTTTTTTTTTTTTGTTATGTGCAAGCGAAATAACACATGCCATTTGGATCAAAAAGTACTTGCAAAGAGAGGCCCCAATAGTAGTACAAACTGTTCTTTGTAATTGGGTAAAGATTGTACGTGAAGAGTTCAAATAAAATGTTCTCTTATCAATTGTACTCAAATTCGTGCGTGCAAGCAGATAGTGGTCACATTTGTTGCGATTAAACAAGAATCTCCTTGCATTCAAATGTATTTTTCTCTCAATTTTAACATATGGATTTTGCTGAGAGAACAAGGAGCGATTGCATTCAAATGTGTTTTCTTTCAATTATAACAAATGGGTTTTGCTGAAGTAACAGGGAGGCGATCAGAAACCCCATGTCAAGGAGGATGACAGCCTCCCTAATTTCCTGGCAAACCCATAACATATTATCTATAAGTATTCTCGACTGACAAATCTCGTAGGGAATGAATTACTTGAATCCCTTATATGAAGTCAATAACTTCTAATTTGAAATATTTACCGACCAGTTAATTCCTAAAGAATTCAAAGTGCGAAAGATTAAAATTGAAGATTGGTAAATAATCCCACCCACATTAATAGTAGTAATTAATGAAAAGGGAAGGCTGTAGTCTGTAATCCGTACTTGAAAGAAACTGATCATAGGCATAGCCGGGAAATTAGGCGGCTTCTTTTCGTTGAACTTATTTGGTCCTTCTAAAAAGTACAATGAGTTTTGCTAAAGTCTGCCCTCATTCTCTCTAAATTTTAATATTTGGAATGGTGTTTTTTTAATAACGTGTAATGGGAAAAAAAAATAATTTTTTTTTATTTATGTGTAATATTATTTTATAAAAGATTGTGTAGTTAAAAATAAAAGAGATGAAAAAAATGAAAGAGAATGAGAGCCGAACAGGGACTTAGAGAAAAGCCACTTGCCAGAAGAAAACGCCCAGAGGAAAAAAAAAATGTGATATGACATTATGTAAAATTTTATATAGTATGGTCCTTAAAATTAAGTCAATTGAACTTTTAAGCCCCTGTTTGGTTCCCATTATTTTCTCATTAAAATAAAAAAATATGATTATTATCCATCATATCAAACTATCAAATTTGAATTTCTATCTCTTATGTGAGGCCCGTAAAAACTATATTTTTCATTCTCATTCTTTCAGAAATGAGAAACAAATGGGGGCTACATAAATTATTATTTTAATATATATTTCTTCTAGTTATGTGGTAATTTAACCCCTTTCCTTGTTAATTATATTTAATTCTGCTACATCTGCATTATGGTTGACATTAAATTTGACATGGCAACAATCATTAGCATTGATTTTAATCACACTTATTCAAATCAATAGCACAATTTTCTACATATCATACAATATCAAATTTAATGTACACTATGATTGTACAACTAGTTTAATCCTATTATTATTTACACTGATGATTCTAATATATTCGAATTCTCTACAAATCTATATTCTCGACACAACTTGAACTCTCTACGAATTGATTCAGTGATTAATATTAAAAGAAATTTTTCTACCGCTTCGAGTAGGTCATGTTCATCAGTACTTTTTATGATAGTGGAGACTAATTTTGAATTTTTATAATCGCTCACCGAATATCATTGCGGTATTTACTAACTAATAAGTTCACTAACATTCAAAAACATGTCACATAAAATCCAATAAGATATTCAAAAACATGTCGTTACTAATTAGTAGTATGTCTTGTGAATATATTAACTTAATAACAAGGGTTTTCAAGCATTTAAAAAACCGAAAACAATTTTTGCAAAATCTATATCCATTTTAACATTTGTTAATGATTAATTATGTCTATATGTTTTTGGACAGTACTATTATTCTTTTTTCTTTTGTTATAAACTAGACGATAAGAATTCAAAACTTTGGGAAGTACTTGATGAATCCAACAATGTCAAACATAGGATGTTTCGTCGCGCAAATATTGTTTAAATCACAATATACGAATATTTCTATTTGTCTACAAAGTTGAATAATTTGAACAAACAACATAGTGTACATGTCAATTACTCATTCAACAAGAATTATTTTTATAGTAACTATATATTATTCGTTTTACTAATTGGATATTTTCAATTTTTTTCTCCATCAATGTTTCG